AGTAGTACTAGCAGTAGTAGTGGTAGTAGCGGTAGTGGTAGTAGTGCTAGTAGTAGTAGTAGTAGTAGTAGTAGTAGTAGTCGTCGTCGTCGTTGTCGTAGTAGTAGTAGTAGTAGTAGTAGTAGTAGTAGTGGTGGTGCTCCTGCTCCTCCTGCTCCTGCTCTTGCTCTTCCTCCTGCCCTTGCTCTTGTTCCTGCCCTTGCTCTTGCCGTTGCTCCAACTGTTGGCGTTGCTCTTGCTCCTGCCCTTCCTCCTGCTCTTGCTCTTCCTCCTAATTACACTTGCTCTTGTTCCTGCTTTTGCTCTTACTCTTGCCGCTCTTGCTCTTGCTCCTGCTCCTGGTTTTATGCTTGCTCCTGAACCCCGCTAATCCAGATTCGCTTCTAAAAGGCGGGGGTGATTTCAGGGGGGTTGTCCGACAATAAGCTTTTTGCAATTAGGTGGGACGTGTAACCAACGGCCGAAAGGATGACTTCTTCTGCTGCTGTCACTACCACTACCACTACCACTATTACTATTACTATTACTATTACTACTACTACTACTACTACTACTACTACGACTACTGCTACGACTACTAGTAGTACTACCACCACCATTAAAGCATAAACGGAGGGCGATTTCCCATCCGAGACGCCAGGCATCCCTGGCCAACCCCCAAAGGGCACATGCGCCAACGATGGGCCCAAAGCTCCTGCGGTGCGGTTTGAAAGACTTCTTGCACTGAAGATTCTTTGCATGTAAGAGTTGTTTATAGGGCTTCGTAGAGGGTGTTGTATAGTTTTAGAAGTCTTTATGATTCTTATCAGGGTTTCACAAGGTTTTGCAAGGCTTCATAGTGCTTGAATACGCAGTTAGAGTTTACGGGTTCATGGCTTGGTCACTCCACAGGTGGCACCACTTCCTTGCAACCACATCATACACGCAAAGACACCGTGACACCAATATGATCCCATGATGCTCTGCGTTCGTTAACTGCTACATAGTTACAGGTTTTCTTTCTGCTGATGCCAGCGTGTATTTGGGCAAGCTCTGAACATGCCAGGCACATGCCCCCACTTGCTGAAATCCAAACCCAAACGGGAAAACTCTAAACCTACCAAACCCAAACCCCATAGTGCCGCAGGCCCGGCCCCATACGCTCAAGCCTGTTGTTCGAAGATCCTGAACCCTGGACTCGAATCTTGGGGCCCTGTTTTGCTGGAAGGAACCCGGTCAACCGGTGTCACACAAACTATATTCAAGCCCCTGTGGGTCAGGGGTCGATACCGTTTGCGATTTGCTCCAGATCGACACTGCAGATCTAGGGGTCATCACCGTTTAGGAATACTTAGAAATGGCTAGTTCCTCATGTACCCCAAAGCCCCATTTCAAAGATGAATGTCCCCTTACTGGACCCCTTCAAAGGCCCCGAAACCCTGTCTGAACCCGGCTATATTCAATATCATACAACATATCTGAATCTGAACCAGTCCTGCCTCACTGCTGAAGCGGCGCCAGCCACTTCGGCCAATCGTTCCGGCCATCAGGCGCTCGCGAGAAGTTCCGGCATGCGCAGGTCGCGTGTTTTGATGACGAAGGGAGCGGGGAGGAGCGCCAGCCAGACAGTTAAGGGGTTTGGGGTCTTTCGATTATTGTTTTTGTAAGGTTAGTGGCGTGTTGAGGGTTTAGGGGTTGGCGGTTGGGTTTAAGCTTTGGGACAAAGAAAGGGGACGAGGGGGTACAGTATCTTGCGCCTCCAAATTGACGTTTTACAGCCTTTGCGATGTATGATCTGGCAAGTGGGCACTGTAGACAGCTTCCAGCGACGACAGAAAGAAGCGCATTTGCGGGGCGAGCGACATTGATCTCGATGAAATCTAAGCATCCAGACCCTCATCCCAGATTTGTTGTGGTCCTAAACCCTAAATCCTAACACCCTAAACCGTGGGCTTCGGGCTTTTAGGGTCTAGGGCTTCGCCGTCTAAGATCGGGATAACGTCTGTATCCCCACACGAGAATGAGGGGTGAGACTGGATTCTGCCACTGTTGGGGACCGGACTGTCAGGCTCTCTACACAAACTCCCGAAACAGGAAAAGTCGACACACATATGTACATATATATATATATGCACATACATATACATAGATATGTATGTGTATATATATATATATATATATTTGTATATGTGCTTATGTATGCATAAAGCCTTCGCAAGAACTCTGTGCTCGAAAATCAGCACGTGCACCATGATCAGAGTCATCACTACCATCATCATGCCCTATGGACACCACCATCACCATCATCGCCATTGTAACTTCCATCAGGTTCATGCCCCAATCATGAGCATCATCACCACTATCACCATCGTCGTCATCACCATGTTCGTAGTAAGCGCATTATGCGGAATCAGAGGCCAAGATCGGATCCCAGACACAACGTGATGAACACCCTCATTCTGATACTGGAATGTTCATACTCACAAGCTACCCTGTTCTTCAAAAGGCTGCTGCCCCTGAAGATCTGCTCCCGCACGGAGGAGGATCCTGTACGGCGTGAGACTGTTCAGCCTGAAGCTCTATGCCTACGGTTATTATAGTTCTTACCCATAGGCCCCATAGTAGTTCCTTTTTGGGGCTACCTTATAGGGTTCTATATCTGAACCCCCGAAAAGGAACTACTTTAGGGCCTATATGGGTACTTAGCATAACGGAGCCTAGATCCCAAACCAGGCTAAGCAGGAAACGTCGCAGGTCGAAGGCCCAGACTCAGGTTGATTGAAATGTTGGGGTCGGTTTAAACATTAGCCCTAACCCCCCAGGTACCTACTACATAGGGTACTAGAGGTTTCAGGGCCCTTTCTAGCAGGTACCTGGAGGCTTAGGGTAGGGTTCAGGGTTTAGGGATCTTGACGAAAGAACACCGACTCAACGCCTAAAACTCGTAGAAGCCCTCTTTGTTCTGCACACGGTCTGCCTTCTCTACGAGCAAACGCGTTATATCCAAGCCCATAAAGCATCCAACACCACCGGTGCGAAGCACTGCAGTTTTCAATTCTCCGCATGGTGGTCGAGTGAATCTGAGTTACTCGCACAAAGCTTTCTCCTCCAGGACATGCAGCCTAAACCGTACGAAACACATCATCGATCCCTAAACCGTCAGCCCTGAGACACGAATGTACGTAGCCGAACCAGCCTAAACCTGAACCCTTTACAAAACTGCGTAGTGAGTAGAGGGTACTTCCACTAGGGAGGTGCCGAGGAGGGACCCGAAACTTCAGATCTGCAAGATCTCACCGACGATGCGGACTGTCGACCTCGTTCGAGGCATCAGCAGGTCCGGATTGCAGGTTGGGTGCTTAGGGTTTAGAGTTTAGGCTTTAGGCTTTAGGGTTTAGGGTTTAGAGTTTAGGGTTCAGGGTTTAGGGTTTTATAACCGACAAAAATGATTATCTTCACTGAACCGTAGATCAAAAACAAGTCCAACTGAGCCCAAAGCCTGAAACGAAACAACTCAACCCTAAATGCCCGTATGCCCGTAGGACCCTCGGCCTCCAGAGCCAAACCAAAAGGATTAAACATTTCCGTACACACAAGATTGAAGGCTCCTACATGGGACTTTCAGACAATCACGATATACTTTTTAGACCCCAAACTAGTGTGATTCTTAGGCCCGAACCTGAACAAACACCCATATAACCCTTTAGAATACTTGCCTCGTGCACAAAAAAAGCAACGCCCTGACCACAGGCACCCTAAACCCCAAACTCTATCTCTACACCCTGTAATACTTGCAAGCCCTACACCTTACAAACCCAAACTCTAAAGACCTCAAGTCCCAGCCCCAAACGCTAGACAACCTAAAGAACCTTGAATCCTAAACCGTAAAGCCCTGAACCCCTAAACCCTAAACCCTAAAGCCCTAAACCCTAAAATAAAGCCCTAAAGCCTCAACAAATCCTGGCCAAGGCTCTTGAAGTGGGCGGAAAGCTCCCCCTGGATCAAGCGGAAGAAGCTCATATAGGAGGACATCAGTCAATTATTGCTTTGCCTACGGTCATATACAGATTCTATGTTCTATAAGGGCCCTAGGGTAATGTAGAAGCCTGGATAGTGATTAGGGTTTGGGGTATATCATACTAAATCTGTACTAAGGAACCCCCAAAATAGTATTGGTAATTATACAGGCCCCGAAACTGCTGTGATTACTCGGGGCCGAACTCATGGAATTTACACGCCAGATGGAAGCCCCGCTTCTGACAAGAAACCCCGGCCCGTCTTACCCGGCCCCTCACCTAAACCCTGAACCCGAAAGCCCTAAACCCTAAACCCTAAAAAACTCTAAACCCTTAGAGCACCCGAACCTGTTCCCCCAAAAATCTCTGACTCTAAACCCTAAACCCTAAAAAAAACTCTAAACCCTCAGAGCCCTAAACCCTAAACCCTAAACCCTAAACCCTAAATCCTAAACCCTAAACCCAACCTGTGCCCTGAAAACCTCTTCAGTGCCTCCAAGTCTTCTTTCGCCGCCACAGTGGCGGACTTTAGCCTTAGGTCTTGCACGGTTCGATGTCTCTTCTCCTGTCTGAATAGGTTTAGGGTTTAGGGTTTAGGGTTTAGGGTTTAGGGTCTAGGGGAGTTAGGCTGTAGGTCAGAGTTGCGTAGGACTGCAATCTCCTCACATAACATCGGCGGCTTTATGATCACAATAATAAGGAACCCCCAAAGTTTTTTTGGTACTTCTTTAGGCCCCTATACTACTTACCTCCCCAATAAGCCAGGGAAATACAAGGTTAAACTTTCAGATAGCTACTAAACTATAAGAACCCCAAAAAATAGAAAGGTTGGGTAGTGGAGAACTAAGACTACTCATTCTGCGCCTGAAATCCCTAAACCCTAAACCCTAAAACCTAAACCCTAAACCCTAAAACCTAAACCCTGTCAGGGATCGGTCCTCGCACTGCTGCGCCGAATCGCTCTACAAACTCTGCAGCTACCTGGACCCTAAAGAGCCCACCTTTTTAGGGATCCTTATTATGATTTCTGTGTATAAGTCCTTAAGCAGGTAGGTTATTTGGGGTTAAGGTAAAGTCTAGGTTTGGGGATGTTGGATTCGAGTTCGGGGCTCATTTCGTTATGAGGTTTAGGGCTTGCGTCAAAGCCCTTAGTTTCGGGTTCAGATTCAGATTCCGGGCTTGGAACTGTAAGTTCAGGGATTACAGGGCTGGTTTACGGTCTAGGACCTGCATTCCTGGTCTGCCGAGTCAGTCTCTACAACTCACAACCTCGACACGGCCACGACTAACTCTTTAAGGCTCTGTGGCTATGCTTGTATGGAAGCTTTCTTTCAAGCTTGTCGGCGACAGCTGGTATTGACCCTAAACTTCCTAAACCCTAAACCTTAAAATCTAAACCCTAAACCCCTAACCCTAAGCCCTAATTATGAAACCCTTAACCCTCAGCCCTAAACCGGAACCGGGCTTCAACTTCAGATCTCCTAAATCCTAAAACCAGATTAGGGTCGCGGGGGCTTCTACTTCCATTACATTATCTTTTGGTTTAATATATATATATATATATGTATTACATTGGAGCATATTCTATTAAATCTTGTAATGCTCTAGATCCGCCGGGCGACTTGTCGATCTCGGCCCTGGCCCGCTTTGCTTCCGCCAGCTGTTCAGCCTTGACCTGCTCATGGGCTCGTGGCTTTCAGGAGGGATTGGGAGGTGGGGTTTACCTGGACCCTAAAGAGCTCACCTTTTTAGGGATCCTTATTATGATTTCTTTATATAGGTCCTTAAACAGGTAGGTTATTTGGGGTTAAGGTAGGGCTTAAGGTTTGGGGCTGAGGGAAGGTATGGATGAAGGACTGTAAAGGAGGGTGGCATCGGATTCCCTGGGACTTCTTTTGTATACACTCAGTCGGTCACTCGAAGTCGATCGGGCGACCTTCAATAGAGTAATGTGCTCGTTGCAGTAGTGGATGCTGTGCAGGCGGACCAAGCCAATGACTTCGGCGCTAGGCGTAATCGATCGCGAGGCCATTGTACTAGCTGCACTCGTGTGACGGAGATTAAGCCTCCTTGTATCATGCAAAGTCGCACTTGTGTTTCCAGGAACCGCTTCTGCTGCCAGCGTCCTTGCCAGTCCAGTCCCTACAGCTCCTGGCTGGCAGCCACAAGCAGCTGTGGCCGCACGTCTTAGGATGATCACGGCAGTGCAAGACTTGTGGTGGAGTCCTGGTTCCCGCCTAAAACCTCACAACAGTCCCTGTTGGCGTCAAGATCACTTGCTTGAAGCTTTGAACCCTGATCATAGTATTCTCACAAGAACAGCCGAACCGGATACATGCACTCGCCACTGTTCCTAAGGAGCTGTATATAGACTCACAGGGATTCTAAAGCTTCTAAACCTCGTAGCTCCTGAATCCCTTCACTGGATCCCTCTACAAAAACCTTCATGGAAGCCTTACAAATTTACACCCCTCAGTCAAAACCCTCACAACACCCCTCACACACCCTGAAAACAAACACTCCTGAACCTGCTGTCCCTGAACCATAAACCCTAAACACTAGACTAGACCTTGAACCCTGTCCTCTTATAAACCCTAAACCCCATGCCATGTCTTAGAAACTCAACCCCAAACCCCAAACCCCTAAGCCCTAAACCCCAACCCTATGTAAATCCGAAGCCCTAAACCCTAAACCCTATCTTATCAACCCGAAAAAAGGGGCCTTCATAATTACCAATTGTGGGGGGTCCTTAATACAATTATAGTATACCCCACCCAAAGCCCTATTCTAATTAAGGCCCCTACAGTAAACTCCCAACCCATACAAGTCCCCGTTTAAAGCCCCTAAGCCCTAAACCCCCAAACCGTATAAACCCTAACCCCCAAACCTTAAACCCTATAAACCCTAAACCCTAAACCCTAAACCCTAAACCCTAAACCCTAAACCGAAACCCCTAAACCTTAAACTCTAAACCCAAAACCCTAAACCCTAAACCCAAACCCCTAAACCTTAAACGCTAAACCCTAAACCTGAACCCTAAACCCTAAACCCCAAAACCCTAAACCCTAAACCCCAAAACCCTAAGCCCTAAACCCCAAAACCCTAACCCTGAACCCTAAACCCAAACCCCTAAACCTTAAACCCTATAAACCCTAAACCCTAAACCCTAAACCCCAAAACCCCAAACCCGAAACCTGAACCCTAACCGAGCTCCAACCGC